GAGTGTCTTCAATGTGTTGAAAGCCTCTAGACACGCCTCATCAAAAGTAAATAGTGCATCCTTAGCCAAAAAAATTGCACAATGGCCGGCTAATCATAGAGAAATCCTTGATAAACCATATATAAAATTCAACATGGTCAAGGAATGACCTTTGTGGGAGGCAAAACTTGACGTTGACATCAATCTTGGCTTTATCAACTTCAATTCCTTTACTCGAAATTAGATGTTCTAGAACAATTCCCTGCATGACCATAAGGTGGCACTTTCCAATTCAAAACCAAATTAGTTTACTTCCTGGTACCTCTCAAGAACTAAGGACAAGTTATGCAAACACAGATCAAACAATCCCCAAAGACTGAGAACTCGTCCATTAATATACACTTCCATAAACTTCTCAACCATTCTTGAAAATATGCCCATCATGCATCGTTGAAAAATGGCAGGTGCATTGTATAATCCAAAATGCATTCTTCTATTAGCAAACGTTCCAAATGGGCATGTAAACATGGTCTTCTCCTGATCTTTAGGTGCAATTGGGATCTAATTGTACCCTGAATACGCATCCAGAAAACATTAACTAATGTTGGCTTTAGTTCACCTTTCCCCATTCCTGGAATATATCCATCTTGTGTCACTCTCCTTTTAATTTTAGCTTAATCACTATCTAGTTGAACTGATAAAGCTTGAATTTAAGGGTCTACCAAATCTATTGCATAAAATTAGGTCAATTACACACATGGTGGATTATCTTGATAGTGAGGGCTTTTCTTTCAACCCACCAAGTCCAAATCATTTATCTCCTTCTCTTAGTGTAGATTAGTTTAGAAAGTATTCTAAAAGGCGGCCTAGCCAGTTGACCACCGCCACGGTTAAACCCTAGGCTTTTAAAAAATCAAGTATCCACCTAGGCGGGCTAGTGACTTTTTTCTCTTCTTTTTTTTCAAATGGGTCACGACACATTGTGTCTCAAATAGAAAAGGAAACCAAGACTTTCTCTGTGCTTGTGTGTCTCACTCTGTAATACTATTTGATATCCATGTTTTCAATAAAATTTGGGAATTGTTATTGGCATTCCAAAAATCTCATTCTACACTTCGAATTTTCTATATTTGGAAAGAAAAATACACTTGTGAGGAGTATAGAATGAGATTTTTCGAGTGCCAATAACATTTCCCTAAAATTTATAATTTATATATCCTTTCATTTTTCATTTTATGTTTCCCAATACAAGTATAGTTTCTTTTTAAGTAAAACAAGGGAAATTATTTTTACGTTGTATAATAAATTTAATTAAAATAAAAAATTCCGCCCAGGTCCAACCCTATACCCGCCGCCACTCAACTACTACCTAATCATTTTTAGAATATTATAAAATATTGCTTTTAATAAAAAAAAAAAATTAGGTCAATTACACTTAGCCTCTTTTTAGTTTGGAATCTTTGTCGTTTTAAAATTAACGAAAATAATAATAAAATTACAAATTTTACACTATTAGCTGCCGGATTAGTCCAACCTTCAGACTAGCTACTGATTGAGGTGTATTAACATATGTCATATAACTTTGGCTTATTTATTGATTGGCCTCTTGAAATTGTCTTTTAGTCTCACTTTACTTCTTGAAACTAGATTTGTCTCATTTTGCTCTAAAACTGTCAAAATCGAACCATTTCACCTTATTCCCATCAATTCTGTCTTATGGACGTTCTAGGAAATGGCAGTTTTTAGGGTTTAGGGTTAAATGAGATTAAAGGTATGGAAAATAATTAAATAAGCTCAATTTTTTTTTTAGTTACATAAAAATCAGATTGATACACGTGAGTTAACAGGTGTAATATGCCCTTATCGGTATTAAGCTGCACTTGCTCCTAAAATGTTTCGATAGTGATAGATTTGACAGCCACTAGGCAAAGAACTGAATTATCTTTAAGGTGGCCATGGATGATTGAGGTGCATTAGGTGTTAGTGAAGATTATAAAGAAATACAAGACCATTGATTGACACGCTTCTTAACCTGAAGGGACTTAAGCCCTCGTCTCAGAAGGAGGTGGATTGTTGCCCTTCCATTTCCATACTCGTTCCATACCCTTTTGTAATGTGTGATCACGGTTAAGTTATGTCAACATTTTATATTAATTTTTTATAGAAATAATAAAACAAAAAGTAATAAGAATATAAAATGTTGACATGACTTAACTCTGACCACAAAAACAAAAAAGCATAGAAAAAGTATGGAAATAGGAGGGCAGACAATCCACTTAGTCTCAGAAAGACATCCACTTTGGCTCTGAGTTCATAAAAATTTTCTTATTTAAAATTATCGAGAAGAAATAGGTGAGATTACCTCGTCAATGATCTTTTGCATATTTTTAATGCACCCACCAACCTATTTTTGGGGAGCCGACGCTCGATCAATCACAGAAATTAGATACAAAGAAGCATGCGCATACCATCTTTCAATTACGTTTTACAATAACCCAAAATTTGGTTTGATGCTGATTCTGTTCAAATTTTTGCAGTTCTTATAGTCAAATTATATAAGAATCATAGTTGAACTCAAATACTCTGATAAATACAAAGCTCGCGTCTCGGGTCTCTGTCAAAAAGAAGAATTTCCATGCCACTACTCACTAGCAATGTTAACGTTGTCATATCAAATACCAGTACAACATTTTCAAGAAAAAGGTGTACAACGCATGTTGTTCATGTGTTCAAGTGCTGAGTTATTTTCCCAATGACCATCGAATATATTCACAGAGAGTTGAATTTTTTACAACTAATAGTTCAAGTTCCTTATAAAAACACATGCAAACAATAATCTGATATTAACTCTTTATCAAACGAAACTTTCAAAGGGAATATGATGGAAATTAATGGACAGGAACAGAATTTCATGGTTAGTCAAAAAAAAAAAAAAAAAAAAAAAAAAACTTGCTTTCTAACTAAAGCATGGTTTGCTCATTGGTCAGCTGCAAAAAGAAAAAAAAAAGAAATTAAAGAAGAGATATTACATAAGGGAATTGTTATTAGCACTTCAAAATTTTCATTTGGCACTTCAAACTTTCTATAATTAGAAAGAAAAATACACTTGTGAGGAGTGTAGAATGAGATTTTTGAAGTGCTAATAACAGTTCTCTTACAGAAAAGCAAATACAAAACACATGGTGCATTGAACCGGACTAGTTTACTTACCATCATATCTCCCACAAACCCTAAACCTAAACCCTAATTTCATAATACAAGTCACTAATCTGCACACACACAATAAATTTTTTTTTTCATAAAGAAATGCTGCGCTAATTGGGGCAAGCATTAGTTTGTCCCAAAAATGTTTCAAAATTGCCATTGATTATACTGGTTCTAGAGTGCAAATTATGACGAAATGGAAGTGCTCTGGCCACCTATTTGAATGCAATGAGCTGCGGTTGACTTGACCCATAAACTAATTAATTAAGTTTGATGTGGTCGAGTTTGTTTGATTAAAGATTTAATCCTCGTAATCTAAATAGACAAGGCTAGTTGTAGTCTTGCAGACCACAAAATTTCTTTGGTGGGTATTTTCTGGGTTTCTTTTGGTGGGAGGAAATAGTTAAGAAAAATCAGAGAGGGAAAGAAATACAACATTTGTTGAACGACTATATCTTCTTGCAGTACATTTTGTTAAGACAACCACATCACAAAAAATTATAAAATAAAAAAAGTACATCTTGCAAGAACCTACATACAAGGAAACTACAACTATCCAAAGAGAGAAAACAACCCTTAAACCGTAGACACTCACCCAAAATACCCGACACCACTTGGTTAACCTTGGTCTCTTAGTGAATTCTAATTTAGTTTGGTTCAAGGATTCTCCTGACATCATTCATAACGTCTTTCTACAAGACTTTTGATGTATTTGAGTTTGTTTTAATGAAATTGCTATCATCTTCCTTAAAAAGAAAATGAACAGAAATGTCCGTGTGGTTTTATTCCAAATTTAACAAAACATGCTTCACTGGAATAATTGCTGATTTAGGAAACTTTAAAGTATAGAAGTTACCATACTATTTATATTTTTATTTGTTTATAGTACAGAATTTCTGATATTTCCAACAATTCCAACTAATGCCATTCGGGGTTTCTTTTCTGGATATATATAAGGTTTCATGTTCGACCCATTAAAGGGATTAAAATTGAAAGCACTAGTTATAATAAGATTCTTATAGGATTTGGATAGAAAGAAAGGTTGATATTTTTGCTAACCAATCAAAAAGGAGCAATTCCAGAAATATAATTTGACTACTGCATTAGTAGTCCAAATCATTCCTCAAAAAGTTGATATATACAAGTCTGTTTTTCTAATAAGATAAGCTTGGGTAAATGCAGTCAACTTCTATACAACTGCTGCTAGCTAAATATTCTCGCTAGAGCCACTACTGCTATGAGTGTGATGGTTTTAAATCGAAATCATGCAGCCATATACGTATTTTCAGATGCTATCTCCCCTCGAGGTGGCATATAAGCTACCGCTCTGACCACTGAACTAGTGTTTGGTGGTAGTGCCACTATCTATTCTAAGTGCTGAATATATATATATATATATATATATATATTGACGTCGGCCATATATGATATGGCTGAATTTTTAATTAGTGCTTATTGAGGATTTACTTGCATTTTTACTAAAAATTAGTTTTAAAAATATTTTTATAAAAAACGCTTTCAATCATTTTAAAAGTACTTCCAAATGAGTCTATAAACTTCTCTAGTAGAGTAGGCTCGAAGCAAACTAACTATAATGTTAGTCAACCGGGAAAAGAAATGAATAAAAATGGCTAAACTAACTAATGTGTAATGTTTTAAGTAGTCAAATTATTATGACCGCTAAGATTTAATAAAATGCAGGTAAAGCACTAAATGTAGAAGCTCGAAATCTTATAAAGCTACATGTATCGGTCATACCTTGAAGAATTTCAAAAGTGAAACAGCTGAAAAGTGAGTATCCTCCACTATATAAAGAGAACCAAAGTAAAAGCTTTTCCTTACCGACGACCCACTTCTCCATATATATGCATACCAGACTTCCCTCTTCTTAGAAATCACACAGCCTTTACTAAATACTTTTGCTTCCTTCTTTGGAAGTGATAGTACAACAAGTTCAATTTCTTAGTGAAGATGGAAGAAAGCAAGGGAGCAAAGTCAACCAAAGTTATTGAAGACGAGGAGAAATGGGTTTATGATTCTTCTCTGGATCATAAAGGAAACGTTCCTCTCCGAGCTTCAACTGGTGTTTGGAAAGCCTCTCTCTTTGTTGTTGGTAAGAAATAATTAATATTTATGTCTAACTACTTGATAAATCCGTATTACGTAAGTTGTTCTTGATTGCCAATAAAAATCTATAATTTCATTCTACTTTTCTTGAGCAATTATATTTCATGCTACTTACGGCATATATGCTCCGCAAGATGTTTCTTTTTTTTTTGGCTTGATTATTTTTGTCTAGTTTTAGCTGTTGAAGATCATGATAAAGAGTTCATGTGCAATAGAAATTTAAATACATTTATCTTCACCGTTGGAATATATAACTTTGTGGGACGAAATTATTGTCCACAAAACGAATAGTATATTCTTTTATGATGCACTGCAGTCTTGTATTGTATTACTTTCTTCAATTAGATCCACGAAAGGTGGACTGGACATATATAATATGTATGTAGGCCATGAATATATACGCAAGTTCTGTCATATGAGCTAAGAGTGCATTTGGGAGCTGGGGCCTCAGCGGCAATTACTCTGTGTGTGTATAGGGTTTAGGGCTCATGGCCACTCTAATCGATTAACACAAGTAATTAACAAAGTGCTGAAAATGGTCACTAAGCTATGAATTAGTGCTATTGTGCTACCAAATATTTTGGAAAATTCAGTTAATTTCAGCTACAAATACTATCTAAATTCACTCATCTATATTCACTCACTTGTATTTAATTCATAATCTAATGAAATAGCATATCAAATTAGAAGAAACTTTATATAGATAGGGGTCTATATTTTATGCTCAAAATCATATGGTATATCTTAATAATTGTAAAATCATATACTGGCGGAACTGCCATTTTAGGTTAACAGGAGAAAGAAATATATTATATGGCAAGAGTATATAGGCACTTTGTAATAATACAATGGTAGATATGTAAAGAAAGTCGTATATATATGACATTCTATCATTGGTACGAGATACCATGATAGCGGAAAACTCATTCCCCTAAATAACAGGAGACATATATATAACATGTATCATGTAAAGAAACACAAGAAGTTAAGCATGTACATATATAGGTCAACAGAAATAGCTTTTGCGGTTATGTCATGGTAGCCTTGGTATAGTTTTGAATTAATGAAAGGTTGGTTGCTATCCACATATTTTTTTTTTTTATCTCTCACACACCCTTCTTAATTTTTGAATGTCAATGAATGAATTGAAGAAAATCAAATGATATAAATTAACAAAAAATATGTGAATAATACCACCCTTAATGAAATTTAGAAGAAAGTAAACCAGACAAAGTTTTGGAAGGGCCATACCTATAGTGGTTCAAGATTCCAAAGCCACAAATCTATCTTTAATTTTCTTACTTTTTGAATGGCCATTTTATCAATTATTTTCTATTTCTGTAACTTTATAATATACTACTCCCGATAAAAAGGCACAAAATTTTATGTTTCATTTTTCTTTCTTTGGTTCAAATTCTTTAGCAGAATTTTATTCTAATAATTAACAATTAGTGACTTCTCCAATTTTAACTGTATGTGATTATCCTTCGTGTGTGTAGCTATTGAGTTCAGTGAGAGGTTGAGCTACTTTGGAATAGCAACTAGCTTAATTATTTACCTCACCAGAGTAATGCATGACGACCTCAAGACCGCAGCCAAAAGTGTCAATCACTGGTCTGGCGTCACCACACTGATTCCACTGTTTGGAGGCTTCGTGGCTGATGCTTACTTGGGGCGCTTCAAAACAGTTCTTTTTTCATCCATCATTTACCTCATGGTAGTTAATCTCATTTACCTTTGAACAAACTAATTTGTTATTATTGTTAAATCGTCTCCTATATCAGAAACCTGACCAAGTTAAATCACAATTATATTAATGATTTCACTACTAATTGCATTGAGGTATTTTGTATAAAACGTCACACCTATTGTAGACCTTCCCTGAAAATTAAACAATTGTTAGTTTATTCAGAAAATAACTCGTCTGTTTTTACTTTAGGGTTTGATTCTTCTATGCATGTCCTGGTTCGTACCAAGCTTCAGGCCTTGTAATACCAAAACATGCCACGAACCCAGAAAAATCCATGAAGTGGTGTTCTTTGTTGCAATCTACTTAATTTCTATAGGGACTGGGGGTCATAAGCCTGCCCTGGAGAGCTTTGGAGCTGACCAATTCGATGACGATCACCGTGAAGAAAGAAAGCAGAAGATGTCCTTTTTCAATTGGTGGAGTTTTGGGCTTTGTTGTGGGCTTATACTTGGGGTTACTGTGGTAGTGTATGTGCAAGACCATGTGAGTTGGGGTGTTGCTGATATTGTTGTCACTGCAGTCATGGCTGTATCACTTTCTATCTTCATAATTGGAAGGCGGAATTACCGTTATCGAAAACCGACTGGGAGCCCCTTAACACCAATGTTGCAAGTTCTTGTAGCTGCCATTGCTAAGAGAAATCAGCCTCACCCTTCTGACCCTGCTCAATTGTATGAAACCCCCAAATCAGAAAAGGTTCATGGGAGGCTTCTGTGCCACACGAAGAAGCTCAGGTAAGCAAATTGATATCCTTTCTTTACATAACACAATATGTTCCTGTATATATACGATGAGAGTAATGTTCGCAAGCGATATTTCTAATATGTTATGTTAACAAAATGTGTTGTCAGAGTGTCAATCTGACATGTTATGTTATTAGATTATTAATTTGACATTTTACATTATTAAACTATTAATTTTGTACAATTTAGTCACTAAGAAACATGTTGTATGAACAAGAATTTCTTGGCATCATGTGTTTCAGATTTCTTGACAAGGCGGCGATTATAAGCGCACAAAACTTGGCTGAGAATCCAAGCCCTTGGAGACTAGCAACTGTGACCAAGGTGGAGGAGATGAAGCTTGTTCTCAACTTGATCCCAATTTGGCTAGCGACTCTGCCATTTGGAATGTGTGTGGCACAATCCACCACATTCTTCATCAAACAAGGTGCCACCATGAACAGAGAGGTTGCAAATGGTTTCGTGGTCCCCCCTGCCTCAATATTCGCTCTCGCAGCCATTGGAATGATCGCCTCCGTCACAATATACGAAAAACTCCTTGTCCCGATTCTGAGAAGGACAACCGGAAACGAAAGAGGAATCAACATCCTCCAAAGGATTGGAATCGGAATGATTTTCTGCATCGCTACGATGGTAGCAGCTGCCCTGGTGGAGAAGAAACGACTAGGATTTGTCAAAAGTGACCCAATAAAGGGTTCGCATTCCATGAGCGTGTTGTGGTTGGCACCACAATTTCTGATCGTTGGGTTTGGAGATGGGTTTACTCTTGTGGGGTTGCAGGAGTATTTTTACGACCAAGTCCCGGACTCCATGAGAAGCTTAGGCATTGCTTTTTACCTCAGTGTGATCGGAGCTGGGAACTTCGTTAGCAGCTTTGTGATCACGGCCGTTGATCACATCACGGACAATGGAGGGAAGAGTTGGTTCGGTAAGGATTTGAACAGCAGTCGGTTGGACAGGTTTTATTGGCTCCTGGCTTGCGTGGCAGCAGCAAATCTGTGTGTTTATGTTTTCGTGGCTCGGCGTTATTCTTACAAGAATGTGCAGAAGGTAGCTGTGGCTGATTGCTTTGGAGATGAACTGGAAAATGAAGGCCCGATCCCATGAAACATAATATATATTTATATATAAATATAAGGAATTGTTATTGGCACTTTACAAATCTCATTCTACACTCCAAACTTACTATATTTGAAAAGAAAAATACACTTATAAGGAATGTAGAATGAGATTTTTTGGAGTGCCAATAACATTCCCCTAAATATATACAAATATATTAGTTCAATAAATATTAATTGAACCATGGTTTAGTAAGTCTAAAAATAATTTACTTGTTAAGTTTGAAGTACTATTGTGAAATCGTGTTTGAAATTAATTGTAAACGCGTGGCTTTCAGTATTTTAAAAAGTATTAGACGTAAAAACTTTTGGTGCCATCCAATTGCCAATATAAATTCACATGCAACCCGTGCATATTATCAATTTCTTTATATTTTCACATGGTATGATGAGTTACTTGATAGTGAAGAGAGAGAGAATAATGGCACATGCATTTCTCACATTATGTACTCATCTCATACGAACAGTTCATGCATATATTATGGTTAAGTATTATACTCAACGTAAATATACCTATTGTGTTTGTATTTATGTGGATCTCTGAGACTTCCTCTGAACCAATTCGACATGACGACTACTAAAACAGAGATTGGAAGGTGAATGAGATAGGAGAGTTGAGTTCTAAAATATTTACATTGAGTAATGAAAGTTTGCATAGTAGCATTCTTATCACTAATCTTTGTCTTATTAATATTAATAATTCATAAAAGCGTCCCACCAAAGGTGATTATAATGTGTCACCCGAAAGACATAAAAGGGTGTCACCAAGTATTCTACACCACTAGACAAATATGATGCTCTTTTTATGGGTCTTTTTCAATCGTACAACTTACAAGCACAATTAAGAACCAGTCTCTCCTTCCTCTATCGCCACAAGTGGACTCACAAGCACTATGGGAATAAGAGATACCGTTTTCCATTGCTTTATTCCTTTGCCGATGAATGGATTAGATTTCACAAATCTTCCCCCTTTTACTTTGAAATCTATTATGTCTATCAACGGGCCTCCGATTCTTAAGTAAAAAAGCAATAGAGAGAAAAATTGAACTTGAGAGAGTTCTGAGTAATAAATGACGATTATGTTTTTTTTCTGTTTGACCTGACTAATTATGCCTTCACAATCACATATTCAAAACTAAAATCTATTTATCTATTTATCAAATCCTACACATGACTATGCCACAAGAAGGATTGAATGACATAGCTATATGTTATCTATTGAAAACTGTTTGGTTGGATATGTCATGTATTGAAAAAAATTTACTAAGATATTGTAACGACCCGTCTCCAAAAATTACAGTTTTTATAACTTTTAATGCGTGAATTTACGAAAATGCCTTTCGAGGCAAAAAACGTTGACTTTTGTTGACCGCCTTGTCGTGTCACGTAAGATCTATTTTCTTGGCGTATCCTTGTAGCATTTGTCGCTATGAGAATATGGGCACAAGCGGAATGTAATTCGGAATTATAACGAAGATTTTATGGAGCTTGAAGCGACAAGGGTATTTTGGTAAATTTCTATTTTAAACATGTTGTTTTGGGGTTGTGTGCCACGTGGGACCCACAAATTGGTCCCCAATCTTCTGAAACTCTCTTCCTCTCCTTTCTCTCCCATGAGCTCTCTCTCTCCCTTCACTCTCTTGAAACTTCTCCCTCATCACTCTCTTTCCATGGCTTTTCCCCCCTCAGCTATCATCTCTTCCCTCTCAGCTCACCCTTTTATCTCAGCTATCTCCTTCTCTTTCTCTATAAAGAGACACACCACCACCACCCTTCACTGTACTCCGGCGAGCCCCACAACACCATCACTACTCATCATTCACTCCGGGAAACACCACGAACCATCACCATCATCTGGCCTCTCCTACATCCTTGAGACTCGAACTAAGAGCACGAACCACCAAGCCACAATGCGAAAGAGAACTCTAGCTAGATTTATCGTTCCTCTAATTTAGGTAAGCCTTAGGATACTTGAAATCTCTTCATTTTCACCCTTATGGCCTAATTCTAACCTAGGTTATGTATTTGGAACGATGAGATAACACAGAGATACCTCGAGGGAATTTCCCTAGTTTCCGGCGAGGGACCGTGAAGTTGCAGGCGCTTTTCACACCTTCCGGCCACAGCTAGTCATGGAATTGGAAAATCTTTGCTCCCTTTTTCTTTAGCCTCATTTTGACATAAAATCTATGAAAAATAGTTAAGAAATTTTCCAGCCAAAATCTGGCCTTCTCCTTGGTTGGGTCTGACGACCCACGAGTTTAATCGGGTCAAACTCGACTCGCAACCTAAACTTGCCCAACCCAGCTGCTGAGCCCAATGCTATAACCCAGCCCAAGTCTGATTCAAATTCTAGCCCAAGTCCATGACCCATAAACCTTAACCCAATGATCCGACCTAACCCAGACCCAATCCCGGTCTCTTAGGGTCGGGCACACTCGCCTTCACCAAAGGTACTGTGCTCTACCACAGTCCACGGCAGTGCCAACGACTTTTCCAACGACTCAACTCGACATATGGCAGCACGTGTGGTGGTAGATCCGAATTCGCTACCCGTTTTCCCTGATTCTATCTTCTTAGTAGAGTTTTACTAAGTGGCCGCTATATGTATTTAGGTGCATCAATGGGAATTGACTACATCCTCGCTAGCTCGAAAGCAACAAAATATCTGTGAATGAACCCTTCTTAAATAGCATGTTTTTATAAAATATTAGGCTTGCATTCACAAAAAGCATGATTTCTTGATTTTACATTTTATGCATTATTTATGATTTATTTAAATTGTTTTTACGAAATATTTATGATTTATCGACTATACATTTTACTAAGGGTTATGAATTATTGGATTCTCGTATATGAAATTCTTTGGCTTTCGAACATGATTTAGTTTACGGATTTATGAATATGACATGGATATATGAAATGAGGCTTTGAGCTTATGAGCTCCGAATTTGATATAAGTTTTTGAGGTATGTTTTCGATGCTTAGTGGGTTATCATACAACACATCCACACAACATGGGTATGTAAACGTCTATAGCCATAGGACACAATTAAGGAGTAGTGAGATATTTATGCCATACCCTCAGCTTCACCGGCGAAACCAGTGTCGGACAGCTTCACTAGCCACGGCTAGTGTCGGTGTGTGATGGACATGTACTGCCTTCAGGCGACTATGATACCCTTAGTTGAGTACATCATTGATGTGATTTACGGAGATTTATGGATTTGCCTTCAGGCAGCGATATTTCCATTACTGAGCACTATTTTACACGTACTTGTTTTACGAATGTTTTTCATGGCAAGCTAGAGTTTTCAGAAAATTTATTATGTAGTATTATATGTGTTTTCAAAATAGGGGGTTAGTATGTTTATAAAGAAAATGATTTTCTTATTATTAGTACTATTATTATAAACTTTGGTCCACTCACTCATTTGGTTTTGCGCCCCCTTCAGGATTTAGATTCGAGGCACATGATCCCGGTGTCAAGGCACTTCCGCTTAGGTATCTTCGAGTCTCCTCTGTGTAGGACCCATTCCTCGGTTCGTACCTTTTTATCATAATTCTTTCACATTATTCTTGATTAGTTGTATATTTTGAATTCGGTTCTGACTTAGTATATTTATTTTTAATTACATATTTTAATTCGCATGCATGTTAAAATGGCTTCGTCACCTTGGATGTCAGCCACCAATGCCTATCCTAATATTTGGAGATATCAGGGTCGGAGCATGTCAGATATGTTATCTATTAAAAAAGAGTTTGGTAAGAAAATTAGATTATGTTATATACCGATGTGATTATATGTTCCAGTTGTGGTTATATATTTGTATGACCTACCATTTTCTTGTTTTGGCCATTCTTATTTTTTTATTCTTATTTTTTGAAGTCATTGTATAATAGTATATTGTTGTGAACAATTGCCGAAAAGACAATCTATATGACTACAAAATACATTAGAGAGCCTGACAGCTCAAAAGCCCCCTTTTAGTGATTCGTGTTAGGCCCCCGAAATTTCAAGATAGACGCTAACTATGTATGAACGACGAGTTTATAATTTACAGTATAATACTTAAAAAGGTCACGCATTGTAACAAGAACCAATTGATTTTGTTACACAGTGGTGTCAGATATTGCATGTTATCACTTGTCAGCATGTCAAATAGGTACAAACAAACGGAAAAAAAAGAGGCCAATTTTGTTCAAATTGGGGCTCATGTCAAAATTTTCCCATGTTGGGCATACGTAGCAAATGGGTAGATGAAGTCCTAGCCCATCAAAAGCTTGTACTAATATTCGATTAAGAATATGTATTTGCAAAAATGCTTAAACACCAACGGGTTAATAAGTTAGAGTGTACTATGCTCAATTTATTGTCTTATTTTATTATTCATGCTATATTTTCACCCATTATAAATGGTTTAAAAAAACAAACGCTCTCGTCTAGGGGTGGGCAAACGGGGCATGGACTCGCGAGTGGGGGCAGATCTAAGTGGTTCGGGGTGGGTCTAATTTTTTTAAATCTGAAACAGAATGAGATGGGGCGGGACGAGTCCATTTTAATTGTGGAGCGGGGTGAGTCCTAATTGCTGAGGAAACAGGTCCCCGACCCAAACCATTTCCACCATCCAAAAATCTGAGATTTAACCTGGTCCGTCCAAAAATCCGTCTGTCTCTCAGACAAAACTCTTCATCTCTCTCACTAACTCTCCATCTTTTTCATTTCTATCCCTCCCCTCTGCAGCTCACTCTCTTGCCCCTCTTATCTCTGTAAGTCTAGAGTCTGTCTCTCAGACCTCAATTGCACTGGGACTTTCCCACTCCTCGAATCTCCTCCCATCTCCGTCCACTCTCCCCACTTTCTCATTCTCCCTCCCACCCCTACTCGACTCGACTCCCTGAGACTCATAGTGACTGAGTCGACCTCGACTATGTCAACATCATAGCAGCTAGCCACCATCACCATCGTGGCATCGCCTCCTGACTCTCCTCCGGTCCTTCCAATCGCTAGTTCTGGCCACCACCACACCATCCTCGTCGTTGAGAACACCACCATCATCCTGCAAATCCCTAGGTAATTTATGAATTATGGTTTCTGATTTAGGAATTTAGGATTTTTGCATAAGCTTTTCAATTGATTTAGGAATTATGTGGGTTTCTGATTTGAGAATTAGGCTTTTTGGGGTTGTGATTGCATAAGCTTTTCGATTCATTATATGGACTGTTGTGATTTGATTACAGATTGGTTTTGAATTTTATGGATATGCTTATAGATTGTAG